ACCTTGTACAAATCGAAGTACTGCTGCATGTTTATGTTATCATGTGTTTTTTTTTGCCTGCTGCCCGCTTCATTCACAGCTCAGCATTGCCGCTGCTATAGCTGTTATTGTCAGCTGGTCGATTGATCGCAATCATGGTCGTCGCTCACAGAGTAAATAGAGGAGAGAGTTGACTCGGAATTCTTGAACATATCCAGCACAATGTTTGATTCCCCCTTTGCTTCTGACAGGCCTAATTTCAGAGTGGCCACCAGCATTTGCCTGGGTCAACTGCCCCCCGTCTTTTCCGTCTTTCCTCCACCCTGACATTTGTCAGACAAGGCGTCAGCCCTCGGATTGCCTCAAACAGATTGAAATCAGGGGAGTCCGTAAAAAAAACTAAACCTTGAAAACAGATTTCGATACACAGCAGATATTCAACTGATTTGGTTGCTCGGCCCCCCCCCCCCCCCCTCCGCCCCCGCCCCCACCCCACAAAAAAAAGAAAAGAGAAAAAAAAAAAAAACAGGTGGCAGAGGAAGAAAGAGAACTGCTGGGAAGTTGCCGTCCCTGATGGTCCAAAAGAAAGAATGCCAAGGAGTCTCTAGCTTTTTCCTAAATAAGGAAGGCGCCCATGAGCTGTGGAAGAAAACACAGGCCTGCTGAGTTGGGTCTCCAGTGGAATCAAATGATCCAAATCAGATGAGTAGTAACTTCTAATTTACGTGGGGACTGTCAGATTAAAGATAATGTGTCAGGGCTGTCCTCCTGTTTTTTTTGTTTTTTATTTTTATTTTTAAAGGAAAAACAGGAATGCAATGGATTAGGTCACCTCATGCCAATTGGTGCAAACTGTAGTCTGCCAACATGAACATTGAACAGGACGGAAAGAGGGAAAAGTGGAAAACAGACAAGAGGAGAGGTGAAGGGAGAGGCAAACAGACTGGCACACAGACAGAGTTGCTGTTGGAATTTCTTTCTTTCTTTCTTTCTTTCTTATCTATTATTTATTTATTTATTATTATTATTTATTTATTTACTATTTATTTATTTATTATTATTATTATTATTTATTTACTATGTATTTCCTCCGTAACTCGCTCACCCTGCACTTTCTCCACTCTCCCTCCATCCCTGTGACTATCCCTTGCTGGCGCTAACCGA